CGAAGGTCAGTATATCAAGAAATGAACTCAGTCTAACGTGTTAGCCCTTGTTATATCAGCACTGTATCGGATGCGAAGAGGATGATGGGAATCGACCAGCTTAGCTCTTTTATGCGGTTTCCGCTGAGGAAATTTAGTTTCCCAAATAAGCCTAGGTAGGGTAGGAGCGCCTGGGTGGCTGGGATGATTACCTCCTGCAGAAAAAAAAGAAAAAAAGAAAGAAAACTTGCCCACCGCGGTGTTCCTTCCCTACGAGAGCCCTTATTTAAAAACTGGTATGTTCGTGATATAACACGACATAACGCGTTTCATTGAGTTCATTTCATGATATACCGACATTGTGATAGGTGGCCCCCCCAACTACATTTTCACCCACAAACCCTGCCAATTCTGTGCAAAATTGAATCATGATGTGAAGGAGGGAAGGTGTGCAAGGTGTGGTTCCCAATGCGAATGGTGCAACATTTACAGCTTGAACAACGCTTGACAACTAGTCCGCCTTGGGTGTGTACGTAGCTTAGTCGGTTTTGAAGCCCTCACTACGCCCTTCTTGACTATTTTTTGACCCGACAGCGTCCCTTAGGCTATACTTGAGGGTCACAGGTTTATCCTGAGAAGAAAACTCGATAATAATTTTTGACGTGAACTGTGCTTTAGATATTTCTGTAGGAGTAATAGCAAATCATTTCATGCCCTTTTTACATTAGGTTGAGCAAAAAGTTTCGATCGACTCTTCATCCCTTTCTAAATTCTTTCGTAGGAACGCTCGGCAGGGCTTCGTAATGGGTTATGGTAGACCGATCTCTAACTTTGACTTTTAGGGGGATATATAAGCATTGCCCTGTAATTGCTTCGCAAATATGACTTCAACTTTCAACTGTCGTCCGAAGCCGCCCTCGAGAGCTATAGTCTATCACGAATTACAGTAAGAGCATAATCCACCGACGGTTGCCTCACATATCTGGGGTGTATCCAGAAGAGTCATCGTATATCAACAAATGGGTGTCTCTTGCAGAAACACCTTCAAGTCAAGCAGAGTAGCAGACCACGTCCGAGGAAGGTTTTACTGTGTCGTTGGTGGGCATCCTCAGGGAATGGACTACTTTGGATAACTTGCTGAGGGTTCCACCGTAATCGCAGTTTTACGCTTCTTAGCTGCAGAGTTTGGTTGACGTTGATCGAAGGAAGCGTTCGCAGCGTGGAAATGTTTGTCTTTTTCACGACAGCGCTCAGTCGCATATTGCGAAATTGTTTCGTCAGAAAATTGCCGAACTTGGCTGGGAAGTACTGCCCCATTCTCATTCGCCAGGTCTCGCCCCTATTCTGATTACCATTTGTTTCTTGCTCTGAGGTGTCAACTTCGCGATAGAAACTTAGATTATTGCTCAAACTTAAAATTGAGATTTCCAACTTTTTCGAATCGCAGCCGCCTCTATTCTGGGCTTCAGGAATCAAAAAAATGTCGAATCGTTGTAGATATGTTGGGAACAACGCTGAAGAATATATCACTAATTGGAGTCCTCTTCAAAGGAAGTAAGACTTTTTAAAGTGAAGATGAAAACCGATCAAAACTTTTTAATCATATCTTCCACTCTGTTAAACACATCCACAAATGCACCACCAATCGTCAGTCAAGGAATGGTCTGGGAATTTCGGAATAAACGACGGAATGTTCGCTGTCGTTGCTGTTTTTTACATCGATCATCAAAAAATCGTTAATTCGTCGAACAAAAACGTTTCTATTTCAACTTCATCGCAATTTTAACCATTTTTCAATTTCAATAAACCGCTGATTTTGTTGAATATTCATTTTGTCAATGTAATAGATTTTTCGAATGAGACTCCAAAACTTTATATGGAAGGTATGAAACATACCGTATCCTTACGCCGCATGAAGAATACCCCGCCAGCGACAATCGCTTTCTCCTATCTTTTCAGCTGCTTCTACATCTGGATGACTACAATTTTGCATTTCGTGACTCCAATCTTCTGATTTCCGACATATTTGAATATTTTTCATGTTTTCCAGGACAATCGGTAATTCTGGAACTCAAAAAATAACTTGGTCTACAATGGAAGCAATTCGGTGAGCATGGTGTAGGAGTGTTTCCTAACAATGCTATTCTTCGAGCATGACAAAAAGCGTTTAAAACTTGCGGAACCGAGCCCTAACCTCACAAATACAGGACAGATTCCCATCCGCTGCTCTCAAGAAACCCATGACGTCGCCAACCGTGTCAATTGCTCGTAGCCGTCAGATGGCTGTTAACGGATTTGACTCACCCGACTTATCGGATGGTCGACCACTTCGGCCCCGATAAACACTTGGCCCTTCTATCTCGTACATACGACAGAACCAGCCTAACCTCTTCTCAGTAGTGTAAGGGTTGAGAGCACGGTGTCCGGATAGCACAAGCACGGTTCGAGTTCCCTCCGACGTCGAAGTTTTGCATATAACTCGCCGTTCTCGTGTATTTTTCCCATCTCGTATTGTGACGACATGACCGCAGTTAACCAGCTCATCGGGTCACGAACCAGACCCTGTCCACTCTTAATCAGCAAATTTTGGAAATGTTGAAGGTCCATAGCCATTTTTCACTTCCATCTAAAGTGGTTTCATAGGTATTCAAAGCATTCTATACATTGCGGCGCACAATAGATTGCACCCTATAAAAAACCTAATTTTTGAGAGGTGCCGAAAATTCTGATGTTTCTACCGCAGATATGTTATGTGTAGAGAAGGTCAAATAATTTTGGCGCGATAATCGATAGATGACAGATGCATTTGAAGAATTCTGACGGGGCAATATTGATTACATGGCGGTGCACAATAGATTGGACGATTTGAGGTAATTGATTTATTCCACTTTTTCTTCTCTGTATCTGGAAGTTGCACATGCTTACATATTTGTATTTTGAGCATGCGCAGGTAAACCCAACTGACAAACGAATCCGGATTCGAATTAAAGCGTTACGTCACCTTGAAAAAAGTTATGCCCGAATTTCTAGAGAACTCAACATTCCTAAGAGCACAGTTGCAAGTGTTGTAAAGAAGCAACCAACAAATGTTCCGAAGACAGAGCCAGGTCGAAAATCATCTCTTCCTGAACGTGACAAGCGACGTTTGATCAATATGGCATCAAACCCTACGAGAACTGCGAGAGAGTTAGCTGCAGATTGTAGGGCTCCGGTTTCAAAATGGACTGTTGCTCGCGTCCTGAATTCATCGGACCACATATGTAGCTTCTCAGAAGATGAAGTCTGCACAACGGCTGACATAGAGTCATCGAGAGAAACGGCTCCTCTTTACTAGGAATGAGGTGAACAGAGATTGGGCAAAGGTGTGGCTTTGAAACTTGCCTAGCTTCACGGGAAATCTGAGTTTTCTATCCTTGTCTCTTTTCAGGTCATTTTTTCTGATAAGAGAAAATTCAACGGGCATGGGCCAGATAGACCCCTCGTATGGGCACGATCCACGAAAAGAACCGCTACTTGTGTCCCGAAGAAACTTTGGCTGCTTCTCGTTTATGGTCTGGGAGCGTTTTGTAGCGACGGCACTGTTTGTATTCAAGTCACGTCTTGTGAAATGTCAAGCCAGGACTTCCAGTCACTACTTCAGAAAACGTTGGTGCCATTCATCAAAAAGAACACCAACAAAAACTACGTTTTTATGCAAGACAACGCTTCTACTCATGCTGCGCGGGGTACTCTATCCTGTTTGCAGTACAATAACATCCCTTTATTGTCATGGCCGGTATGCAGCCCGGAGCTAAACCCCATAGAAAGAATATGGGGTGTATTAGTGCGTAAGAGCTTATCCATAAGAAGGGAGGCTGCACTCATTATCAGATAATCTTGCAGTAGAAAACGGATTGATCGGATTTCAGGTGTTGTTTTTTTGGTTGACTATGCGTATCGTCCGATCTAATATGCATCTTGAAGAGTGTAAAATTATTGCTAAGAACTTGAAAGAAGTTGTACAGTCAAATTGTTACCACGGAGAATAATCTTTTGTTCATTCTAATAATATATTGTCAGAAGCAATAAAAACGTTGGCCTCTCTCTAAAACTAGTTTTTCTGTGAGGTGCGATCTATTGTGCACAGCAGTGTATAAATTCTGAATAACTGTACTTTTAGATGCACTCGTACATTGGCTGCTATGTGTACAGTATTAGCCATCGTTTTCATGATCTCAACTATAGCACTTGCCATAGTTATCGGTTTACAAGTCTCGTACGATAAGGAACTTGACGAAGAGCTGGATCAAGTAAGTTACTGGTAATTTTGTTTGTTATGAATATTTCGATTACCGAGGGTCTAGAGTGTCATTTGTTTGATTCCGACTATTGTTGATGGATCCCAGTTACAGAACTAGTGTCACATCGGAGAAATTGCCCCGAAAATAATACAGGAAGGGTCGATGTCGATCAGGTCGATCGATGTCGTCTTGTGTGCCCCACAAGTAGCGCATGTTGTTTAAAAACCATAAATCGTCATCAGAAAAATTTCTTTTTCATTCACGATCTTTGATTGCATGGCTATTTCTATCACGATAAGCAATAGTGAGCTGCCGCTTTGCTGTGCAGCACCACAAAAATCAATATATCGATTTTTAGCGGGACACTTCAGCGCGACATATCATTCACTGGTCAAAGCCATCTGGAAGCCTTTACGCCCAATTCAAAAGGGTTGCCGTTGCATCGGATCATGGATTCTGCTCAGAAATAGGAAGGTAAGCCTTCTATTGACTACCCTTCCGATCAATTGATTTTATTGATTTTTTAAATGCAATAACGTCAAGGCAAATGTGTCGTGTAAGTGTGTGTTCGATTAGATGTCTTTGTTCAAATCTTACCAAATCTCCCAAATGGCTTCTATACGCCCAGATGAAGAACTATGAAAAAAGCGCGGCCATGCACCCGACTATTTTTGATTTTTTCAATGTTGTAGAGATGTGATGATTGACGGTGGAAACGCTGTCGACGCAATAATAGCCACATTGCTGTGTGTAGGAGTAGTGAATCCTCAGTCAAGTGGACTAGGAGGTGGCTTCATTATGACTCTGTACAATGCGTGAGTTGAACTATGCTGACTCATGAATTCAGCGCCGACCCATAAATTTGATCCGTTTGGTTTTCAGATCAACGGGTCGATGTCAGACAATCAACGCTCGCGAGTCAGCTCCTCTTGCTGCCACTGAGGACATGTTTAAGAGTGATACAAATCAGTCTGTATACGGTAAAGATGTTCTTAGTGTGTTTTCGGGGTTAGTCTTGAACTTGAATAGGAAAAATGATTAGAAAGTATTCCCGTTTCGCTCTGAGGTTATATACCCAATCAAGAGCCGTCTTATATTGTTGGTTCTTCGCTAGTTGTGGAGGTAGTTTCCAATTTCAAACGATTAATTGAGATGATGTGGGAAATGTGGTTGTCCTGGGAGGGAAAGTGATGAAGGAATTTCTGACGCCTCCTATAATAGAGTGTTAGGAAATGATCAAAGAAGTCAGGAATTCTTTGAATTCTGCATAGCTAATCGGTTCAAAATATTATGACAGACAAATGGGAAAGGGAGGGCAATGGGAGCTTTCGTGGAGTAACTCTCCCACTTTCGAGTTTGACCTGAGAAACTACATTCGATATGCTTCAACATCGCCTAGCTTTTTCGGTTTGATGTCTTCTTTCATCCGACATTTTTCGAATTTTACTCGTAGTACCCCTTCCCTTTATGAAGTTTAGTCGCTAACCTCCTTACGACTTTATNTGTAGCTTGATTACTGGTCACTCCTCTGGACAAGCAGAGGACCCATTAGCTGAATACCCAATAGCATCCGATACCTTAGTCCCGCGGAATGTTAGCTAACAGAATATGAAGCTCCATGCGTTGACACTCCCTCTTTCTGCCCACATGATTTTTACCAAATTGGAANTCGCTAACCTCCTTACGACTTTATCTATAACGATCGGGATATTCTTTTTCAGGTTATCGTGCAATCGCCATACCATCTGAACTACACGGATTTTGGACAATATTCAAGAACTTTGGTTCTGGAAGAGTAAACGTTTTTTCAATTCGTTTGTTATAACTCTACTAAAATGCGAAACTTCAACAATCAGTGTGTAGCTTGATTACTGGTCACTCCTCTGGACAAGCAGAGGTCCCATTAGCTGAATACCCAATAGCATCCGATACCTTAGTCCCGCGGAATGTTAGCTAACAGAATATGAAGCTCCGTGCGTTGGCGCTCCCTCTTTCTGTCCACATGATTTTTACCGAATTGGAACGTACTTGATGTGCACCAAATTATCCCGTACAGAAAAGAAATTGAATATCCACCAAAACTTTGCCTAACGCCTACAGGAATACGACGAAGCCAGTTATGGAAAAGAAAGAACGCGAGAGTTCTCATGGCAGCATGTTTCGAAGGCATCTAACCCTTGTAAATCAGGAATTAAGGATAAAGTCCCTGAGCGTTGATTAATCTCGTCTGAGGGATGCGCCTCCGCATTCGACTTCCATTCAGAATCGTAGTGGCGTATTGGATGCGTATCCGGCCAATGCAATGAATTGCGGTGGCCAGCCGATGGGCAAGTCAGTGCTTTTACCCTCCCAGACGAGTCTGGTATCAATTAACCAACACCGGAGGGATGGAAGGCTTGGTTAGTCTAGGCGGATATCGATTCGGGATGCGAACCTGCGCAATTCTGTTGTCAGGGTCGATTTGGTTAGAAAATGGGAGGCAAATAGGGCTAAAAGAATCAAACATCGAATAGCTTAGTTCGCAGAGTTCACAGTATCAAATATTTCAGGTAGAGTGGTCCCGTTTGTTTGAACCGTCGATTAAGCTGGCTATGAATGGATTCCCTGTGTCGAGCAACCTGGCCTCCAACTTGGCCCGTAAGGAGAATCTAATCCAAGCTGAACCAACTTTGAAGTGGGTACCCACTCAAGAGCCTTCATCGTAAACGTTTGGTAGCTCAGTTGAAGCGTGGGGACAACGAAAGTTATTCCAGGGAAATCTTCGTGGATCGAGTAACAGGACGGGTCTATGAGGAAGGTGACATCATGAAACGCGAGCGTTATGGTTCCACCCTTCAGCGTCTTGCCAACGCCTCAGATCCAGTCGACTTGTTCTACAAAGGGGATATGGCGCAGACCATCGCTGAAGAGATTACCAGCAATGGTGGGTGGCTTGACAGCTGAGCATAACCAATGACTTTGTCTGACCCTCGAATAGCGGATTTTATGTCCTGCCGGAAATATGACTTACCATTTAATGTCCCAGGTGGAATCATTAATTCGACGGATTTGGCAAGTTATGAAACGCTGATCGACGAGATTCCGCTAATCGTAAGTGGATTGTCGGGTGATTTGGAAATGTGCGGACCGCCACCTCCGTCATCTTTCGTGATCACGCAGAGTATCATAGCTGTCATGGCGGGTGAGTTGGAAGTACTTCCAAGGTTTGTCTGGTCTCAATGCCGAACTATTGCAGAGTTCTATCGCGGTGATAAGGTGAACCTGGATGATCCGCTGGTTTATCATCGTCTTATCGAAGCCGAAAAGTTCGCTTATGCTCAGCGGACGAAGCTCGGTGATGTGAGATTTGTGGAAAGCGCAAAACTACTTGTCGCCAACATGAGTACTCCGTGAGCTTTAGTTCTCTATTCAACTTCTGCAATAGAACGGCAGCTGGAGTTTCACAGATTTCAGGGATTTCTCAGCAAGCGCTCCCCTTTTTTCTTTCCTCTTCTTTTCCTGGAAGCTCATTCCATCTTTGTAAAGTAAGCAGTTGCGACGAAGGGAGGGCGGGCCTTAGATGCCATTGTACACACCAGTACTGATCCTTGAGAAAGACAGAACGGTCTTCACGATCTTACCACAGCTCTTGGTGTGCCATCGGCTTCATGAAGGCCACTAGATACTCACATCTGTCTTCCTACCAATTGGGGTAGGCTTCACAGTTGTAAAAAGGAAAGTGGTCGACATCCTTTCTGCATTCACGATGCTCATGGCCTTGACTTCTATAGTAATCATTTCAGCATCAGAACTTGAATGCTTTATCCAGTTACTCCATGATTTCTGAACTCGTTCATGTTTTCATCCAAGGTCCTCTAAAAGTTTCTTGACTATGCGTAAAGCCCACCGCACTGAATTAATGTCGTCTGCCATCTGTCCAAAAGTTGCGTAATGGGTCTGGCCGCTTTCATAGTCCGCGATCCGGTTCGCAAGC